ACGTGGTCTACCGCATACAGTGCGTAGGTATAGCATTCAGTTTTGCGGCTTCAACGTGCAGTTGAACGTATACATGGTGTTGAAGGCATAGGGTATTGCATAAAATCAAACAAGAAAAGTAATCACGTACCTGTAGATCGGCCACAGCTTGCAGATATTTTTAATACTGGAATCCATGATACATCTCTTTTCAGTGTTTAGAAATGGATGTATTTTGAGAAAGAAAATTGACTTTTGCAAAAATTGTGCATCCTTAATAGTGTATATAAGACATGCCTTTATTTACAGAGCGCACAGTACAATTATTATAATACATAAAATTGGAGCAGTCATATGTGTCCTTTTTTTTTCTTTTTCAAAAATTGTGGTATAAGCATTGACGTTATTACGATGTGATTCTTATTTTTGCCATACTTTTTTTTTTTTTTTTTTTTTTTTCTTATACTTCTTATGAAAGAAAAAAGCTGGACGCCTAAAAATCTTTTTAAATATACACGATAATTAATCGATACACGCTACGGACAGTTATTTATATTTTTTTGTTTTTGTTTCGTTAGTCCACTTGTCGGATGATAATTTTCTTTATCAATAATCATCGTTCACTCTACCATTAATTGTATAAGGATAATGATAATAATTAGCTAAAACTGAAATCGTCGACTTCGATTTTTTGCTTTGGCACTATATAAAAAACTCATTTATTGCACTTTGCGACACAATTTATTCTACATAATTACTTTTGTTTTATTTTTCAAACATTTTTTTCGACACTTATATGTATAGATTGCATCGAAACTTTAATTTGCGAAATACCGCGTGTACTTCGAAATTGCGATCGCACTCGAAGGACAAATAATTCAATGTTACCACAAAATTTTTCTCATCTGGACGCGCGTTGGGCTCGTTCCCCATACTCATTTACGCCTTTCTGCGCTTTGCTTTGAGTCTGGGAACTGTCTGCGCCAAAGCGCCAAGCGGCCAGAGCACGTCACAATTATCTAAATATGCGAATGAGATCACGACCCAAATCCAAAATGGAGCAAAAATTTTTGAAGCTAATCAATCGATGATTTTTTGCAATTTCTTACGTTACTTCTTTGTTTTGTTTTATTTCATTTTATTTTTTTCTTACAAACTCAACATTTTTATTATTTTAAATGAGATTGATATAATAATAAAAAAACATAAAGACTCAAATGTTCTCAATATATGTATTTTCTTTTCTTTTTCTTTTTTTTTTTTTCTTCTTTTTTTTTTTCAAGCATAGAAAGAACAACAACGAGGTGGGAAAACTGGAATTAGACATACAATCGCTTATTCAGACCATCGTACAGTAAATCGTCAAAAATAAAAAAAAAACGTGAAAAATATCTACAGCAACAAATTTTCAAAGATAATATACACATTTAATAACACCATGATTTTTCTTTATCGTCTTAATAGTATTATCGTTGCAGGCTGATACATACAAAACAACACACAATAAAAACAATAACATAATATTAACGTGACGCTCACAATAATAATATATTTATATATATTTGTATAATGATAATAATGTAATAATCATAATATTAATAATCATCATGACCGTCATCATACAACAGCGTGTCTTCGACAATAATTAATTAATACTAATTACAACTTTCGCCGAATAGCTTAGCTGACGCGATGACTGGGCCGCGACCGGGTTATCTTTTTTTTTTTTTTTTTAATATTAAAGTTCTATAATTTTGTCTTTACTTTAATTACTCTAGAATCATTTTTTTATCATCATTGTTACTGATTAACTATCATATTACTGGGGCAAAACTGTATATACTCGTCCGGACCCAGTTGCCCGGGTCGCTACACTTTATAGTCCAAGTCTTTCGCGAGTACACGTTTACGCTTGCATTTACATTTCAGTTTGCAAGAGAATAAATTAAAAATGTTAAACATTAATTTTTGACTAGAAAAACATCGAAAAATGAAAAATTTTACTATTAGTTGAAAGTAGCATTTTTCCAATAAATTAGATGTATCAATGTATTTGAAGACGATTATTTTCATTGTAGCTTTGAATTTTTCAAAATGTTTTTATATCAATTTTCGATGCAGTTCTAGTGTACATTTTAACACTCGTGAACATACACACATACACATTTACACGCGGGCGAGAGACTTTGAAATTTACAACTTTGACAGCAGAGAGCTATTCGGGGTCTTTCACTACGCAGCGTATCTTCAGTTCAATAACAGTAGTGGAGGGTGGAGTCGATTTGCAATATTTTTAGTTGATATTTTATATCTACTCTTTTGGTCAACTATTTTATTTGTGGTTAATTTTAAATGAATACCATTAATTTTTTTGATGCATGTAATTAAAGTAAAAGTTTGGAAATAAAGCCTTGAGATATGACAAACAATTACTAAAAATGGTGAAAACCTAGATGCAAATAAGGCCCACTCTCTTCTACACTTTGTTATGCCACCGAATTAATATTTCACTGGGCTACTCTCTAAGTGTACTCTTACAAAATTGTTAAATACTTATTTCGCAGCTTTACTCGTATAGTTGAAATATATTACAATGCTTAATACTTCTTTTCATTTTTTTCGCCCTTTGTTTATTCACTAAACTTGCTTGGCGATATTTTACCGAGAAATTCAGCGCAAAGTGTCGTTATCTTGCAGGCAAGAACATTGAATAAGATCAGTTTAAAAAAAAAAAAAATTTTTTCTTTTTATTTCCATTCACCGGGATTGAAATACCGAGGACGCGCTTGCAAATCTTTATTTATTTTTTGCATTTATCTCCAACTGATTACTGACAGTCATCAAACTATGTCGCGCGTGATTGTATTTCGTATTCAATTTTTTATTTTTATTTTTCACACTCTGAATCTGAATCAGTGAATACTCATTGATTGGCTATTTGAAGAAAATTCATTGCTCATTCATTAAATTACCAATGATAAATCTTAAATTTTCTTCGCTGACAAGTTTATAGTTTTACAGTGCTGCAATTTAGTTGCTTCGATTGTAATAAAAGTAGATCCATATTGAAATTATACTGTCCACATTTTCACTGATTCAATTTCAGAGAGCACATGTAAGTAAGAATTATAGGTACGATAGTTTAACTTCCCCCATTAAATTTATCTGTCTGTTTTTAATTTTCATTATTTTATGAAAAAGTACCCAAAAGTGTCTTAATTTTCGTATAACTCCCTTGGATTGAATTACGGCAAGGAATAAATTCACGAAATTAACCAGCCGCTGAAAATCATAACTAATCAAAGTTATCTGCATTAAAATAAAATGATAATATTTGAAAAAATAAAAAAAAGTTACCATTTGCAATTCAGTCTCGAAAAGCGAAAAAAAGAAAAAAAAAAAAAAGAAAAAAAAAAGAAACGGTAGATCGAGGACAAATGCATACAAACTATCCCGAGACGCACAACGGAGCTCGACAACATAAAGGTACACGTAGTATATATATATACGGGGATCATAGTAAAAAGGGAGCTGAAGGGATGGGGGTGGGGCAAACACTAACTGACACTAATTATCCTAAAAATGATTATTTTCGTTCGTTTTTCCTCTTCGTTAAATACGTAATAATACTTACGCGCCAAAAATTTCAGAAGAAAATACTATACGTACAATATGTGTGTATATAATATATATCACCTATCAGTGTTGCACGAATTGGACAGATGATTGCTTTCGTGAAGCTACACGGACATAATATATTGGTTGTGTACACACACGCACGCCATACAACAATGTAATACGTGCGGGGTGGAAGTTTTGGGCGCACGATCACGTGCTGCGTCGTTTATATTTATGTATATATGTACTAATTGCAAAAGTCGAAATTCACGCGCACACAATATAATTATCCTGTACAACGTCGTTGCAACGTCCTGCACAAACACACGTACACTCCTCGTGTCGCACTGCACGCCGGTGTGTTTATTTATTTAATTATTTTTATTTATCAACTATAAATGTAAATAAAAAATAGTAATAATAATGATAATAATAATAATAATAATAGTAATATTAGTAAAGTTCAAATAATAATTCGAAAGTCAGGTTACGACATGAAAAAATACCATGACAGCTCATTCAAATGAACAAATGTATCTTCAAGTGAGACCGAAAGCTAAATTGTAAAACCAATGCATCTATAGTAATTAGAAACAACCGCACAGGGGGCTGTTACCGTGTGGCCGGTCAAGGCAAAGGATCGGCCAAAAGAAAAAAAAAGAAGGAGAGAGAGAAAGAGAGAGAGAGGATAAGGCTCCCGATACTCACCGTTTCCCATCGGTGAGCTCATACACAGCTCCACAATAATTGTCTGCGCCTTTTTTTTTTTTTTTTTTTTCTTCGACTACAAACGCTGAACGTGGTCTACCGCATACAGTGCGTAGGTATAGCATTCAGTTTTGCGGCTTCAACGTGCAGTTGAACGTATACATGGTGTTGAAGGCATAGGGTATTGCATAAAATCAAACAAGANAATAATAATAATAATAATAATAATAATAATAATGACAATAATGAGTAATGATGAAGTATACGCGGCAAGTATTTGCGCACTCGCGTCTCCCCGAGAGACGAAATGAAAAGGAAACTTGTAAGGGAGGGTAGGGTACAATGTACTCAATGTATAGGTACCTTTGGCTCGTCGTCGTTTAACTCGAGTCCTCGAATGTATCCTCTCGCACCGTCGAACAATGGGGTAGTGCGAAGAGAGAGAGAGAGAGAGAGAGAGAGAGAAAAAAAAAGAAAGAAAGCAACCCTCGTCTTTGAAGTTGTCCTTTGAAAGGTACTCGCACTATACGTTATATATATTTACACCTCCTGCACCGTGGCGTTACCTTTACGTACAGATAATCAGCTTCAGTCAATAGTACTCCCCGTAGCCGTCGTACACGCTCGACGGCGAGGGGGGCTCCACCTTCCCGAGTCCCTGCAGCGGCGTCCAGCCGCACCCCTGGCCCTAAACCGCCAACCCGTGGGCGTTCTGGTGCAGCAACGAGCCGTGCTGGTGGTGGTGGGCAGCGGCTAGGTGCGCCTGATGGTGGCCGTGCGAGTGGGCGAGGGCTGCCGCCGCGGCAACCGCAGCCGAGGAGGAGGACGACCCAGCACCACTGGTCCCAGCTAGCTGCTGGACCTGGCTGGGGATGGTCGACGAGGAGGCGGTGGCAGAGAGGTGCAGCTGGTGGTTGGACGACGACGAGGTGAGCGCGCCACTGGCGTGGCCAAAGGCGACGCCAGAGAACACCACGGGTCACTGATGGTGGTGCTTGGCCGAGCCGTTGGCATGATGTGCCTGGGCGGCGACGTGGTGGACGCTCGTCACGTGGCCGCCCACCCCCGCCACCGCCGCCGAGTGATGATGCCCGTGGTGATTGGCGTTGTTGTTGGCCTGGCTACTGCTGTTGTTGTTGTTGTTGTTGTTGTTGTTGTTGCTGCTGGTGCTGTTGTTGTTGTTGTGCTGCTGCTGGGACTGTCGTTGGCTGTTCTTTTTGTTCTTCATGCGGCGGTTCTGGAACCATATCTTCACCTGGCGCTCGGTGAGGTTGAGGTTGCGGGCGAGCTCCCAGCGCTTCTGCTTCGAGACGTACGCGTTGTAGAGGAACTCCTTTTCGAGCTCGAGGGTCTGGAACTTGGAGTAGGGTTTGCGCTTCTTGCGCACCGTCACCTGGCCCGTCCACTCGAGGGGGTTCGTGCCGCTCATGCCCACCCCGGCGACCCCGACGCCCACGCCCAGGGTACCTGTCGGGAACAACGAGGATGGGGAGGAACCCCACATCACTTGACACAATTAGTTGGCCCTCCAATCGACATTCATGCCTGCCTCCATTATTTATCTGGCTATTTTTTTTTTTTTTCTATTTTTCTTTTTTTCTTTACTATAAACTCAAGGTGCTGTATAGCAGATAAATTCTCCAAAGGATTCTCAATGAGCATATTAAAAAAAAAAAAAAAAAGATAATTTATCGAAAAATTAATGCAAACATCCCATCGCGTGGAAGAGAAGGAAGAAAAAAAAGTTAATTAAATCGTGTACAAAGCCTGTATCAAACCACAGCAACAGCGTATACCTGTATTGTACACGTGTATACCGAGTATACAACATATATGTATCATATATACACATGTGTATATAATATCCAGTAAAAACGCAACAACCGCTGATGGGGCTCGCCTCGGAATATTATAACCTTCCGCAGCCGGATAGACCGAGCTCTTTTGATCTTTGCGTCGTGTATATTTGTATGCATGCAAAGCCATTTTCACCGGCGGCGCATAAACGAGGATCGCTCTCGCCGAGAGAGCTGATGGCCGGCGTTCCGTTAATTGGAGTAGCACAGGCCGGCCGGCTGGCGAGTGTACGATCGAGTAGTAAATCTGTGGGATCCGTTAGCAGCGTTACGTTATATATACACGCGCGTATACTTATACGTAGAGGTAGAATGGAACGGGCAGGTGGATATATGTATATTATATGCAGATAGGCCACGACATAATATTCGCGCACTGCAGATATTATATGCGCGTGTATCAATTGTCCGACGATTTATCGATTTTTACCGGAGACTCGGAGGGGATGTCCACGGCAGGAACAACTTATAGGGTATGGAGAGAAGAACCGTCCGAGGAGCGCCTGCACCGTCTTCGCTACGTGTGTACACATATACATCGCGGTTGCTCGTAAATTTCGTCTTCGAGAGCCACTTTTTTCCTCAACGTCCGTAATTGCTTCGTTAATCGGCTACTTGTTTGCGTGCGTGTGTGAGCGTGTGTTTTTTTTATCATCGTTTTTCTGCACTTGTTCTTTCGACAGTGACTCATATATTTATGTGCATCCATAGCCTACATTGAACATTTTGATTTTTCTCTTGGGTTATCTTGAGCTTACACGGTATCGCGATTTCGTAAAAAACTCAATCCCACGTAACAATTGTAAATTTTCTCGTCCAACGTTTGATTTTCAACAATTTTGTGGTGAATAAACTTTGTGATGCAATGTTCTTCGTTTTTTTTTTCTTTTCCAACTCGCAAAGACGCAGCGACTCGAAGAAATGAACGGCAATATACAAGAACACGTTGTCGAGCGAACGCCAAGGCTGCTTTGTCGGCGAAGCCGTACATGATATTATTGGACCGCGCTCTACATCATCCCAAGAACGCGGGCGGCAACCGTGGAATCTCGGGGCTCGCGTGCGCGTTCAAGTTTTTAGATTTTTACTTTTCAGACGAGTACCAGCTGTAGTCAATTTCGACGGAATTGTAAATAAATTTTCATCCGATCTGTCAATCGGCAACGTTAACGACAGAGTGTTACACATAGCGCAGTACCGAACGATCGATCAACGGAACAAGCGATGAAAATTCATGGCGCACGTCTATCGGCTCCTTTGTTGTCTTCGCCCACGCACCGCGAGCTGCGGCAGTACACGAATGGCCCGAGCAACTGGTGAACCATCGCTCGGCAAAACATGCAAATCCGAGAGAGAGCATATAGATATAAGCGTGTCATCGGCTGCAAAAAATCGGTACGTGCCGGTTCCCTCCCATCGGGGTGTTTTTTGTTCTCGCGTGCGCGGCTCTTTTTTTTTCGTCCCTCTGCTGCGTGTATCGCGCGCGCGAGGCTTTTTGTGCTCCAGGGAAACAATGGCGGGACTCGCTAAATGAAAACACGACCGAACAATGGCACGAACGGCGCATGGATAATATACAGAAGAGATAATATATTATCTCATCGGTACCCTTTTTTTTTTTCCTCTTTTCAATATTATCATGAGAAAAGATCTTTCAGTAATTAGGTTTTTCTCGAATCAGCACAGGAAAATTTTTGAAAAATAATTTTTTCTCCCGCATCACCGGGCGAGTAAGATTTTCTCACGTAGTACAGCATAGACTCTTCCTCGTGTACCAAAGCCACGTATCGAAAAGCTCACGCACACACGCATCGTGTGTAAATACACGTAGGTTTATAGTTGGGGTAGGGCAGGAAAACCGGGGAAAAAGTTTGGAAAAGGGACGGATACGTAGCGTATAGTGGTACACAAGTCGCATGCTACACTGCACCATAACGATTCTTCCCGATAGATGGATGGAGGGGGGGAGAGGGAAAAAAAAAACGTCAATAACGAGCGCGCGCAGTGAGCCCATTGATTTACGAATGCGCATTGTTCTTTCTCATCCCCGTCGTATATACACATATATACACGTACTCGGAACGTATAAGCTATAAAGAGAGAGAAGAGGCGGAAAAATAGCTGCAGAGGAACCTCCGCTTTTCCAAAGGATACGCGCTCTTGGACTATTGTACACCAGTGCGTGTACTTGGTACGTAGCTTGAGGGGCTATACTTTTCCTTTCCTCCCCCCCCCCCGCCGCTGTTTTCCAACTCAACCCATCTGCCATGAGCTTCGATCGGTCCCCGTGTGTATACGCCTATGTACACTGTGAATAGGTCACCAACATCGACGCCTCATTGTTTTTCCGTGACGAGGCTCGGACCTTGAGTTCCAATGCCTGACGACACCCACGACGTTCCGTCGCGTTCGTCCTATTGGACGGATAATCTTTTAATTTTTCTTTTTTCTTGTGCCACGAAAGCAAAGCTGCCCAGAATCCATTGTTCTACGCATTTTTATGACGTTTTACCGTTTTTTGAAAAAACTTTCTTTTACAACGCATGGACACCCCATACATACCCATGTTATACATTTTAGTTCCAAAAGCCCCAGCAGATAGCTAATTTTCCCACCAAACTTTGATCGCGCACAAGAAAAAAAAAAAAAAGAAAAAAGAAAAAAAGGTCGATAGTAGATGAAAATCCCGGTTTTAAAAACAAATATCGCGCTTCGGGTATTTATTTTCCTTTCGTATAAATATCCAGCTGTACGTGCACGAGAGCGTCATTTCTAGGCTGCTATCTCCACGGTATACATATATACTAATGTATGCTTATAATAAGTAGAGAGTCAAGGCGAGATGAGAAGAAGAAGAAGAAGCGGAAGATATCAAGTACGTAACAGCCGTATGGATGGGAGGCTGTGCCGCAGCAGATGATGATCATCGATAATGAGATATAGAGGAAGATCCATGTGTATGGGTGCACCGGTGCCTCGGACGAGCGTAAAAAGATAATGCAGCTGCCATCTGTTGGCGGACGGAAAAATCAACGCTGGCGCGCCACTCTCGCACGCACCCGTATTATATACCGGGTGTTCCGTTAAGAAGCATACCTATACCGGCCGCTTCTATTTCCATCGCGTCTCTTTGCCGAGTGTATGTACACTTATTCGCGGACCGGACCGGCAACTTCTCCTTCTCCCCTCTATGCCGATTTCCACGACCGAATTAATTTAGATAAAAGGTAGAGAGATATAAAAAAGAAGACGAGAGGAGATAGTGTAAGCCGTTGTAATGTGCATCCGCGGAAATTTCCAATTATCGATACTGCAAGAGCTGACGAGTAGGTAATTTTTTTGTCTCGGGACTTTCTATTTTCATTTTTTTTCCCCGTGGCGCGTACCGTTATTCCATCGCGTATTTCCAACGAACGGATCAATTTGATGTTTTTTTTTTTTTTTTTTTTTTTTCCCCGGCGTGTACCGCGGCAGTGGGACGA